TATATATGCATATGTATACTATATATTTAAATAACCTTTGACCAATTTGACCAATACTAAACCCTTTGACCAACTGGCAAATTGGTCAAACTGGTCTGGTCAAGCTAGACCATTGACCGGTCCGTGCCAACCCTGAATACGAAATATACAGTTTTCCCAATAATTTTATAAATAAATCTTAATACCCGACTCTCCCTTACGTCCTTTGATTTAATTGTTTTTGAAAAAATTCTCAAAGAGACAGATAAACAATAAGAATCAGATCTTGCTATAATTACATTACAACATTCCAATAAAAAAACAAACTACTATACAACTTTTAATCTCAAGAAAGTAACATACAACAAATTAGACAATAATTTAAAAGCTGAAATAGGAACAATCGAATCCCACATAACCAATAATGAAAAAGTAGAAAAAAAATATTACGAAATGCAAGATATGACTTTAGAACTTTCTTGAAACAACAAAAATTTTAAATTTTTAGTATTACATCAAATATTGATATTTTGGGGGTTTTTTTCCTGTTATATTTTCCAATAATATTCTAATCATTTTGCTGAAAATTAAATTTACAATTTCACTTTTTTTTGTATTATATTATTTAAGGGTATAAATTTAATAGTAAAAATTGTCAAAGTTTTTACATATTCAAGATGATTTTTCGCAAATGTGCATTATCGCGCAGCATTTTTTTGAGGTTGTACGCGTTTTAGAACGCGCTTTGTTCTTTGTGTTACAATGCAATATAAATAATATTAAAGTAAATCGAATTTATTTTTTTGTATAATATAAAATCGTAAAATATAATTTTTTTTTAATAATAAATTCGGCATCATTGTCTTTGTGAAACATAAGAACAATTGGTGACTTAATACTGTAACAATAGTACTGTAGTATACGATAATATAATTTTTCTGTAATAATATAAAACCGGTTTTTATATTTAAAAGATATGTGACGGAATTAATAATAAAAAGGAATAAGAAAAAAAAATCTTAAATAACAAAAAATTATATGAATTATATACAGTAATCTAGCCTAACCCAATCAATAAATTAAGGAGTCTGAGATAAGTAGGATAAATAATATTTTTCGTGTATATAGTGCTGATCTGTACGCAATTAATACGCGTATTTTTTAATTAAAATTTTTTCAGCATACAAATATGTGAAAAAATATAAATACTATGATGCTTGTTCGATGAATTTATTTTTAAATATACTTTTTAAATAAGGAAATGATTAATTCTTATTTGACTTAATTTACGCTATCTTCGACGCGGTCACTCGTATTACCTATTTTACAAAACATCAAGCTGTATATAATAAGGTTTATTTCAAATTATCAAATGGGTCGGAAATGGTCAGTGATCACGAGTTTTAATCAAATAACATTTGGGATCTTTGCCTTGAAAATGACCTTATGGGACTATGTAGATTTTATGAATAAAAATTAAAATTTCTAGCTATCCAGTAATCCAATTTAAATAAACTTTTTTTTATTTTATAAAGCTTAGTAATTTCTACAATATAAAAAAAAAAATTATTTGAATTGGATTATAGATGGCTAGAAATTTTAATTTTTATTCATAAAATCTACATAGTCCCGTAAGATCATTTTCAAAGCAAAGAACCATTTATCATGGTTTAATAATTTGTGTCAATATGATAGACTATGTATATTATATTAACATTTTATCGTTAAAATGACTCGTATCAGTGTACCAGTATATACTAAATCATTATAAATCTCAATAGTTAAATAAATTAAAATACGTCATGTTTAAATCATATAAATATTTATTCAGCACTCGTAATGCCCTAAATTCTCATTTTTTAAAACTTCTCATAATGAATAAAATTGATGTAGTGACAGAAAAAAATGAAATCATTAACCTTGCAGTTAAATTGATATGGAATGCTACAGAAAAAAGTGTTTCTTCAGTAATATTTAATGGCGAAACTGCAACAGTTTTAAGTCAAGCTCGTTCTCGTTCAATTATTGTGGATTTGGATGAAACAGATTCAGTGATTATAAAAGGTGAAACTTATAGAAAATTAAATGAAAAGGTAATTTCAATATTTTAAGATGCTATAAATATTTTCAGCTAATTATAAAATAAATATCCAGGTAAATGAGGACAGTGAAGAAGCATCAAATATAGATAATGAAAAAGAAATTGATCATGTGTCTAAAGTTCAAAAAAGTACCACCAAGGTTACAGAAATCGTAGTAATTATCAACTTCATATTGTATTTTAATTTTACAGCAATTTTTAATACTGTTTTAACGAAATAAACTTAGGAAATTCAGGATAACGATTTAGTAAGTAAATTATTAAATAATAATAAGTCTATCCATTAGTTTTTTATGAGATTTATAATTTTCATAGAAACCATCGAAAGTCTCAATCGATGACAGTCAACCCTTCAGAAATGCGTCGACAAAGATAAATAAATTTACAGCTGTCAAATTTACGGTAACTATAAAATTTTTTTTTTAGCGTTATCAACTAAATTAAGTTGGTTATAATTTTTTTAGCGAAATGATAGTCAAGCTTTAAATAATCAGGTGCTAAAATCTTAACGATAATTTTATCTGAAATTTCTAACATCAACTAAATGTCAATTCATGCTCAGCAAATAGAAAGTGACAATGAAACATCGTCGCAAATTGATGAACTAGAAGATGAGATCATGTCAAATGAAAAAAAAAACAAGCAAAATTCCAATTCATATAGAGTAAGACAATTTTTCAATTATTACCGTACAAAATCAATTATACTAACCTTACAAATTGAAGAGGCGAGTTTTAAAACGTAAAGCTAAGAATAAAGGTAGAAGAGATAAAAGTAAAAAAAAGGTATTTGAAAACTATTTGTGTATAATTGTGATTAATACAAAACCACTGGAATTAGTAGAAACTTGTTTCCGCTTATTCACATATTATTCATTAATCTCCCGTATTAATTATGAACTAATAATATAACCCTAGCGTATTGATGTATTATCAGACATAGACGAAATAATGCTCGATACCTTCTCGCCGTCAACTAATGAAGATGAAATTTCATATGTTTCAATTCCAGCTGATCAAAATGATTACCCAAGAGTTATAATATATCTTGTAGGTTTATATACTGTATGAATGCAAAATGTACCATTTAACCATTTTTATTCTTATTTATAAATTAAAGCATGAAATATTGAATAGTGATAAAGGAGAACAACAACATTGTATGAATCAATAAAATTAGGCATCTTTTTATTCTCTCAATTTATTTTATATATTGTATTTAAAATTTTTTTTTCGAAACATCGACTGTTTTACAGCACCAAATGATAATGAAAATAATCAGGTATAAAACCTAGATCGATCTATTTAAAAAATTACTAACGCTAATTTGATAAATTTTTACTTTAATATTAAAAAATGACAGTCGATCGAAAAAAATGATGTGAATACCCTTCTAGAGAGGATCGTTGTCGATGATGAACCCCGGGCTGAAAGGATTGAAGAAATCGTAAAAAATTTCAATTCTTGAATTTGAGGTATATTACTATACTAACCTACTAACCAAAACAAATTTGAATAATTAAGGACAAACCATTACAAAACAGTAAAAAGAAGGTATATATATTATCCTGAACCTGATAAAGGATTTCTAACAAAAAAAAAAATTAAATAATTTTAGCAAATTGAAGATGAAATGCTTAATGAAGAGGGTTTTATATCAGACGATGATGAAGTAGACAATGTCTCCTTGTTGTTAAATGCAAGAGTAATTATTTATTTAAAAATCATCATTACTAAATTCAGCAACTAGTTTTAACCTTTTCTGTTTTCTATAGCTATCTATTAATAATAAAAGTAATGCTTTAACTTCACCTCAAGAATTCTCGCCGTCGAATGATGATAATGAACAAGCCAATAACGAAAGTTCAGTAAGTATATTTTAGTTTAAAATCTTAATGAAATTTAACTATAGTTTAATATTAATCTCGTTCATTTATAATAAACTTTTAGGACCAAGTATATACTTTAGCTGGGGACCAAGGGTCCGATGAGGTAAATAAATATTTACACAATTTTTTATTATTACAGTGTTAATATCTCGATACTAATTAAAATAAATTAAAGGAAATTGAGGAAGTTACTGCAAATAAAATTGAAAGTAATAAGGCCTTGATACTTAAAAACAAAT